TGTAGTCACAGCTACTTGGGAGGCAGAGACAGGAGAATCACTTAAGCCCAGGAGTTGGAGGTTGCTGTGAGTTGTGATGCCATGGGCGACAGCTTGAGGCTCTGCCTCCCACCCCAAAAAAAGAAAAAGACAAATCCTTGCACTCCTTGTGATCCAAAGCACCTGGTGTCTAGAACGGGAAGATGGAATCTGCCTTCCCCTCCCCCACCATAACCCCTTTCCCCGAGGGCAGGAGATGGCCTGCATCATCTGCCACCAAGGCTCCACACTGAGCTGGGACTGCAGCCTCAGCACCTAGCTATGTCCAGCAGCCACATCTGCAGCCCATGTGCCCAGCTTGGGGCCTCTGCCTACTAGGCTCCCAGGAGAGGCTGTGTTGCTGCCATCCACTCCTGCACTTGGGGCATGGACCTCACCGTGTGCCAGGCCTGGCATGAGGCTCCTGTTCCTTCTTGTCCATGCTCAGCAATCCAACCCTTCCCTGATCCTTACAGGAACAAGGAAACTGCACATATCTGTGGGAGAGGTGTTCTGTGCTCACAACGGGTGTGGGAGGCAGTGGTAGATCCCACCCTGTGCTGAGGCCGGGCAGAGGCTCCTGGGGATGAGACATGACAGCTATTTCCTGGATCAGGGCCACTGACCCACAAACTGGGCCCATTAGAGGAAGGGAATCCCTTGTAGAATGCACAGTGGGAGCCCTTGTTCCTGCAGGGGTGTAGAACACTGGGAAGTTCCCCTGCTCTCCCCTCCAGGCCTTGTTGTCCTTCCGTCTTGCAAAATCCTGACCAGGGGAAGAATGGGGTAGAAATCTTGCCAAGTGTTGCAGTAGAAGTTGCTGGCAATTGCCTCACCTTCCTGGATTTGGCAAAGAATGAATCACTTCACCCTGGGGTAGGCAGGCAGCCAGGTGGGCCCATAAATAGGATCCCCAAGCAAGCCTCCTCATTCTCCTCCTCCTTCACCTCTGCCAGTCAGCAGCTGCCCAGAGTGCCTGCTTCCTCCGCCCTGAAACCATGCCCCTAGGTGTCCTATGGCTGGGCCTCACCCTGCTGGGGGCACTGCAGATCCAGGCCCTGGACTCTACCCCGAACCTGATCCCAGCCCCACCCCTGACCAGGGTCCCTCTGCAGCCAAACTTCAAGGATGACCAGGTAAGGGGCCTGGAGGGGGCACCTGCAGGGAGGGCCTGAAGAAGAGGGAGAGCAGAGGAGAGGAGAAGTGAAGTCACTTGAGAGTGTTACGTAGGATGATGGGACTCAGGGAGTCCAGGGCCCAGGCTACAGCTCCCCTGGCACCAGAGTCCCCTGATGGAAACCACATCAAACGTCCAATTCCCACCCCATCTCAGGGTCACCTGACCATCCCTTCTCTCTCACAACTCCCCTTATCTACGCAAGGTGGAAACATCTTTAGTCCTACACAGATGAGAAGACTGAGGCTCAGGAAGGTCCACCAGCCACTTGCCCAGACACACCCCCAGCCCTGCCAGACTCAAGGCTGCCTCCTCTCCCAGGGCTTCCTCCCAGCCTGACAGTCTCTGGCTCTGGCCAGCTTCATCAGTGCAAAGCCAGTTAGAGGGACTCCTAATTTCTAGGCCAGGCAGGAGGTCCAGAGATACAGCAGGGACAGAGTGAGAGGGTGGCTCCTGAGGCCAGTCCTGGGCTCTGCTCACCACAAGCCCCCTGCAGTTCCAGGGGAAGTGGTATGTGGTGGGCCTGGCAGGGAATGCAATTAACAAAGAAGAAAGAGGCAAGTTTACAATGTACACCACCACCTATGAGCTGAAAGAAGACCACAGCTACAACGTCACCTCCACCCTGCTCAGGTGAGAGATACAATCTCCTTGGGGTCTGAGAGGCTGAGATATACTGTCATTCGCCCAGCATCTGCGCTGAATTCATCTATTTGTTCATTCCTTCCTCTGTTCATTAGAGCAATGTTTAGAGGTCACTTCAGCTCAAACACACACAGACAGTAGTGGGGAGACACACGCACGGTGGTTAGAAAACAAGACAGGGGGTCGGCACACGTAGCACAGTGGCTGTGGTGCCAGCCATATACACCAAGGTTGGCGGGTTGGAACCCAGCCCGGGCCAGCTAACAAAAAGGACAACTGCAACAAAAAATTGTCGGGCGCTATAGCAGGCGCCTGTAGTCCCAGCTACTTGGGAGGCTGAGGCAAGAGAATCGCTTAAGCCCAAGAGTTTAGTGTTGCTGTGAGCTGTGACACCCCGG